TATATATATATATATATATATATATATATATATATATATATATATATATAATTATAATACTATACTATAATATATATATAATTATAATTATATATATATGGGATAGAGAGGTAGCCAACTCATTCGCAAACTCTTTAAAGAAAACATGGGGGATGCCGTCTGAAGTCAGTAATTGCGGTTTGAGGGATCGCAGGTGCGTCAGAACCATGGGCGGGAAGATAACGGGTAAATCTAAGCAGTCATTGGTGATAGGTGGGACTACGTGCATTCAATCAGCGCAAGGCGAAAAGACGCTCTCAAAAAGGTCAGCGAGAGCTTCACCTTTATCTCGGGCAGTGGAGTACTTTTTACCAAGATCGCCTTCGAGTATATGTGTAAGTGGACCGTTCTTCAGAAAATTGTTGACATAATTGACAAGGTACCTAATGTTGTATTTCTCAGACAACTTTTTCACTTTGTGGGCTAAAAAACGTTTTAAGTGATGATCTAGTTATTTGGTAACATCTTGGTAGGCAACCGAGAGTATAGGGTCAAGTGTTTGGCGAAAAAGCCTTTCTCGCTGCTGAAGCAGATTAGTTATGTGTTGGGGGTAGCTCTTAGATTGCCTGTAAAAAAGCTTTAGTGTAACAAAGGTGTCGATCAGGCTATGAATGATTTTACAAAATCTTTCGTAAACAACATCAATATCAGCATAGTTCGAGAAAATCTACAGCCAATCTAGGCGCTTGAGATGTTGTGCAGTGGCAACTTTGTCCATATTACAGTAATCCCTGGTGATGTAATGCGACTCGGGTTGGTGATGGCATAAGAGGTCGAATACTACCATGTTATGATCAGACGATGAGAGTGGAGGAAGAGGTTTGTATATGCGATGCTATCTTGAGATAGCACGACGTCCAAAACTTTGTCACCATGAGTGGGAAAGTTTACGGATTGAACAAGTGAAATAGCATCGAAAACAGCGAGAAATTTTTCGGCGGAGGATGAATTGCCAGTGTGATTGAACCAATCAATATCAAGGTTTAGATCCCCCACCACTGTTGTCGAGATGGGCATCACGGGTGCCAGGTCAAAATAATCGATGATAAGAGGTCATCTTGAGAACTCGAAGAATCAGGAGGTCGGTAGATAAGGAGAAATCGATCTTTCAAGTTGGACGCCAAAAAATTGTCAAAGCACAACACATCCGCTGATAGATTGGTGTGGTTGAGATTCACACGTTCAAAAAGCAGAAGACTATGAATAAGAGCACAGGCACCACCCCCTTTTCGGTCGGATCTATCTTGACTCAACACAGAATAGGGAAGACCACTGGAAACTTCAGAATCAGCAATCCTATTGTTGAGCCAAGACTCAGTAGTATAGATTAAATAAGTTTGAGGGTGCTCAATAAAACATGAAAGTACGGGAATTTATTTTTGAGGCTGCGTGCATTCAATAGAATACATGGAAGGGTCAAGGAACTGTTCGAACGGGTTTCAGTTGAAGAACCGGCGAAACGGGGGTGGCCCTTGATTTCTTAAGCGACGGAGTGTCAGAAGATTTAACGAGTTCTTCTCTGTAAACCACGAATACTCGCTTACCGCTGTGATCCTTATCATTTAGCTCGCGCGCTCGCATCCGGAGCTCTTTCTCATTCTCGCGTTCCTGCCTGGTCATTGATTTTCGTAGATTATATCCTTATACGCGGGCATTGACCGGAGTCTACGTGATCTCGATAGAGCTTTCAGAAGATAACGTCTTGAAGAAATAAATTTCAACTGGTCGGGTTTCGATGTCCAAGGCATCTAGCAAACCCACAACAAAAGATTTAGTGTGCACGTGATGCTGAGAGGGCAAAAGGCTTTTCTCAGCTTCAGGTACACCGAATAAAACTAACGACCTGCAGCGCTTATCCGCCTCAATACCTTCATTTGAAAGCAAAGGTAGGGAACTTACGAACTGGTCCAGTAAAGGAATCACTTCAGGTGCCTTATCGGCTAATATTCCATTAATCTTGGTAAGCAGTTGTAGACTGTCATTATTCAGGTGAGGAGTGCTAGAGGCATTAGAGCCAAGTGAAGAGAATACAGTCTTAGCAGGTGGAGGGTTTTGGGTAGATGAGCAGAGCACTGATCAAACGCGGCCGTCCGTGACGAGCGCACGGTCAAGAATGATACCGTTTGTTTCAGGCTACGCCAACATGTCGTACAACACTTGGGTTTTGAAGAAATATACCACAGAACAACAACGTCTCACCTAAGGCTCAAATATTAAAGATGTCCAAGGGATGGCGAAAATCTCCAGCACGCCAGCCTATTGATTAGTAGGTTTGTGATCTAAAAGGTTGCGGTTGTAGGAACTTATTTGAACCTGTGCATCGATATTGCTTTCAAAATGGATCTAGTGCATGAGTGCAAGACAACACTTCGTTTTGTTTGAGTATAAATTTTTATCAACGCTAGTCGAACATTAAGCTTCATATATCTCCTATATGTGTGGTATATGTACTACATGACACGTAATATAAGTCGCAGTACGATGCCTGCAGTTCTATCTTGAAAAAACTGGTCTGAGTAAAATGTTTACTTGGACAAAAAAACATTTCTTGCCCTGATGTACTTATTCCTTTAATTCCATGATAAAGTAAAACCCGGAAAGAATTGTTTATTCTTTCCATTGGAACACCATTACACATGTATAATAATTACATTACAATACATGCGCACGAAATAGTGAAAGATTGCAAAAAAGTAACTTCCATGTTCGGTCTTCTTGAAACCTGGGCATATTGTACAATGTTTTTCCACTGTTTTGCCGTACAGGTTTTTAAGGCAGAACCGCTTTATTGGTCGACGTTTCGACAAATCGTCATCTTCAGGACCTGAAAGCAGTTCAGAGCTCCTGATCTGTGGCTTACCCGACCAAGCGCCCAAACGCGCCAGCCCAGTTGCAACAGCTCCCAGAAACTTAAACACTAAAAGATCCGAACCGAGAAACCAACCTTCTGCGGTTCCACCAACGTTCTCGTCCCACTCGATTTCGTGAACAAGCAGGGACAAATGAGATACACCATTGACGGTCGATAGATAAGATATGCGCGGTGATCTCAAAGCCCACAAAAAGAAATGAATGGCAGAAATTCGCTTGTTATGGCAATGCACTCATTTCGGTTGTTCAGCTCAGGATTTCTCTCGTGGATGTGGAACGCTTCCAAAATCTTTCTAGCACCGATCTCATTCTCGTAGGCTAGGATTTTGCATTTGATATCAAAATCATTGCCTTGATGTACCTCAACTCGATGCTTCCCAAGTGGCGTAATTAGGCTTCCGCGCCTTTTACCTGCTAGATGTTCTTTGACACGTATGCCTAACATCCTTCCCGTCTCACCAATGTATGTTCCGTCACAGGCTGAACACTGAAGTTGGTACACTGTCCCTCGTTGTGTGCAATCCCCGTCTTTTCCAAACGGGCAGATAACGCAGTTATTCGTAGAACATGCACGATCATAAAGTCTATTGCGGATAAGGTGACGTTTGATATTGTCCCTCGGTAGGTTCACCAGGACAACATCATTCGCCAAATCCGCTCGAGCAATGCATTGTCGAACTTCTGCGCTAACTTTATCCGATATAAATGGAAGCCGGAGATGCATCACATTCTCACGGTTTCTCAGCGAATACGCTTTTGAGCCTGACCATCTGTGTTGTGTCCCATAGCCGTTCAAGTTTGCGATCTCGCATGCTAGCTTACGTGACTCCTCTCGTTCCACCTCGCCTGTACACACTCCTGTAGCCGTTCTGTACATGTTACGAACTACTGCACGTTTCACAGCTTCAGGGTGAGCAGACTTAGCATGGAGCAAGATGTTCTTCGAGCTGTTCTTCCGATACCACTTCACATGATACCTTCCACCTGAGATCTTTATCTGCGTGTTCAGATAAGGAAGCCAACCTTCGTGCGGAACTTCTCTCGTGAACCTGATATGCTGTGACTGNGTGGAAGGTCCAATTCCTTGGGCGATTGAAAATGATGGCCCAAGACTGAGGAAATCCAGAGCCTTCTCCGATACTAATGCGCCGCCAATAACAGTAACTCGTGCCTCACTTCGCGAATTGTTCACTTGTTGAGTGGCCCTAGCTACGTAGTGGTGGTTCGCAGAGAAGCTGACCTCATTGCTGGGACCATTTCCGTGTTGCTCGCTCCTCAGGGTGTTGTACTTAGCGCATAGCGTTGCTTTTGCCCTAGATCGAATAGAGTCACAGACCTCCTTCGAACCACGTTCAATCGCCTTCCAACAACGATCTGTCAGTAGC